CCCCAAAACCCCAAAACCCCATCAGTTACTAATTACATGCTTCAGAAACTTTATGAAATTAAGATTAATGAAATAAATAGTGGTATTTTTAGTTTCATATATTTATCTTCTTGTGATTGAGTACAATTCAAGGACTACTTGAGTTATATCAACTGAAAAGCATTTTGAATATTGACTTTCTCTTAGGAGGCTGTTTAGTTACATTTTCAAAAAGGCTTTTAGTTACTGGAGGTGGTTGAGTATTAGAATCGTTACCTATCTTGCTTATGAATCCATTTTCATTGTTAGCAGTTGATATAGGCTGAACATTACCTAACTTCGCAGTTATTTGTCTATCTTAACCCATATTGCTTGTAATAGTTGTTTTCATATTCACATCACTTACATTGTCTGCATCATTATTCTTGGTTTTATCTTGATAAGTCTTTACTCCATTCTTATCTCTATAGTTTTTAATAAGATACTCCTCATACTCCCGATCATCATACACCTCCTACGGCTGTTAGTATTTTGAAGGCAGATACTTATTGCTCACGAAAAGATATCTCTCATAGTTTCTCTGCTAGTTCATTTTGTATTCCTAGTGATCGTATATCTCCTAGTATGGCACATTCTTTAGCTGCATAATTTTAGCCATGCATTCATCGGGATACTTTATCTTATTGACTCTGCACACTACAGCAGTCTGAATGACCTCCGATCCTTCTCTGATAATCGATATTGCATCTAAAATTAGATCATACTTTTCTTTTATCTGTTTTTCAACACACCCCAGATTTTATCCAACTCTAACTATCTACTCATAATTGCTGTGAAGTTTAGAGATCTAGTCAAGATCTCTTTGATGCTCAAGCTCCTAGAGGAACTCAGTATATCTTTCATAGAAGTCTAGGTAAAAAGCCTTGTACTTTTTTATTAAGGCTTGACAAAAGTTCTAGGTGTTTTCCAACGTTGTCATATATTTCTGGTATTATAACCAAACATCCTTAAGTATAGGGTTGAGATAATGGATATTTATTTCAAAGAACGGTGGCTAATCACTAAGCTTTAAATTCAGCATCCTAAATAGTTCTCCTCTAAAGTAGGCATTAAATGAGAAGAATATAGCTAATGTCACATCCTTTAAGTTCAGCTTATAGCCCTTCTTGCTGAGTGTCTCGATGTCTATCAGTCCAAGATATAAAATCATGTTCTCTTCTGCTGACAATAATGCGTCTCTGATTTTGTTGATTTTAATGTTATAGACCAGGATCTCCTTGCAAAAATCGTTTACATCTGGCAATCGAGTGTGTGTAAATTTAACATCTTACCATCGCTCCTGATAATCTAACTTATTGCCCATTAACAATTAGAATATTATAATATTTGAAGCTTAAAATATAGTATTTTCATATTGAACATTTTGATACTGCCTTCATGGGGTTTTGGGGTTTTGGGGTTTTGGGG